CACGCACCTTTTATGACAGAGGGAAGTTGGCATAAGCAAGAAAAAAAGGCCACCGTTTTCGCTCTTACTTGAAGCAACTGTACGGATGTATAATCCACACCTGCTGGTTGAACATTCTTTGCTGTTCCAAGTGCACTGCTCGTTTGGTGCCGAAAAACTTGAGGCAAAGTTTATTGTCATCCGGTGCAATCATAGTAAATAGATGTTCTTTAATACTACTCAAGCTGCTGCCGATTTGCGATCGCGATTTGAGCAGGTTGGTGGGTATGGATTCAGAACTTGTGAAACGTGAAGAAATGTGACGACCTGCGAAGCTGTGCCGTTTGCCAATGACCTGAGAGGCCGTTCGGTGTCGAGCAAAATGGCATGCTGTGGAATTTCCAAGAAATCGGTCCTCCCACACTTTGGACGCCCGATTCAAATGAAAGTCTTTATAATTGGAGCGTTTGACAGAGGAAGTGGCCTGAGTGGACAAAGGGCCACTGGTCTGGATGCTGTCTTCATCTGTGGACATTGGATTGACGGATAAGCCTAAATTGGAGGGATCAACACTGACATGTCGTGTGCAATCGCCTCGGAACCCACCTACTAGGTAGTCAGAAGTGACCAACCTAAGCTTTTGTCACCCATTGGTTGGCAATCAAGCGACTTCGGATTGGCCAAATTTAATGGCTTATTTAGACCACGTGCGGGTGCGTATGTGGCTAAAAGTCGTGACCATTAATGCAAGTTCATTGCTGAAAATTGGTTCTTCGTTCCACCTCACTCAAGCACTGACCTCTGAGCACACTTATTTACCGATAAAAAAAGGTAGTCGCACTTCTGCTAGGCGCAACATATCGAGAAAATTATAAGTTACAGCGGTTTTTAGCCACTCGAACCTTCGCCCAAATTCCGAGTGAAGGGTAAACAGGAGGGCTTGCTTTCTGATCTGGTGGATGGAAGTGATTCGTCAAGGGGTAAGCAGTGATGGTAGTTTGGAAAATAACCAAAAAAGGCTAGAACAAGAACATCACTCTTACAATCCCGTGGAAATTGTAATAAGCATTAGAGCTGTTGTAACCTTGCAGTTGAATGGCGTCCTCTTTCATCGGTAAATGGGTAAGACCGAGCGTTTAGCAATGCGCCTATATTCGGTCGATTCTGACTACTACATCATCAATGTACGAAGTTAGTTTGCCAATCTGGTCTCGGTGCGCGATGGCACCGAGGTAAAGTAGTAATACATAACGATTTCAGAGTGGTTTTGGTCTCAACGAAGAGTTAGCATAAAAGTAACAAATGGAGACATTTTATAATCAGACATAAGCGCGTTTAAAGCATAGGTACTGTCAAAAGTAGCAATACTGCTTATAGTTAATCTTCAAGAGCGGAATAAACAAAGGCCATAGCTAAGCGTCACTATTCCAGCCAACCGCAAAAAAGGCCAACGCTTACGAACAATGAGCAACAATTCGTCACTCATGCCAATGGGTGTATTAGCAATAAACTTTAAAAAGATCGAAAAACTCCTCCCTAACCCATGTAAAATAATTGTCTACATCTATAAAGACTAACACACTAAGGGTCCATAGTCAACCAAATATCCTAATAAAGTGAGACCAAATTCAAATGCCAATGTGTCTCATCGCTACTTATTACAACGGAAGTAGACAACGTCTGTCTCTCTTCAAAGTTGCAATGCCTAACTAGATATAGCCCATTTTCTAGCAAGAGTACGGTGTGTCTAACCTGTTATCCAACAGCTCACATTGGTCATCACTTTTGACATGCCAGGTTGCACACTCAAAAGGAACATCGTGACATGCACCATGAT